TCACGTAAACAAAAAAGTCATTAAACATTTTTAATCTACCTAATTTATCTCAGTCAAGTCAAATCAAATGAATTTAAACCCATTTTTTTCATTTGCTTTGTGTTTTATGAAACTCTGAATCTCTGCTAGCAGTTATTTCTATATCCACCCAAAATATACCTAGTTACAAATAGAATAAACTTTGTGATGTTAAAATATTTAAAAGGAAATTTTAAAAGTTGCTCATTTAGGAGTATTGCATTGATAATTGATAGTGAATAGACAAAAAGTTGGGTTCACATTTAAACACGCAAGATAAAAAAAATTGCATATGGTTATCAGCTGATAGACGTTAGTAGCTAGGACAGATATAAACATTCACATTTCTAATAATGTGAAATAAGTTGTGATTAAATCTTATTACTTTGAGAAAATATTCGTAAAGATAATACATGTCATGCTGTTATTAAGATTATATAACAGATTAGGTTCTGTCATGGATTAATTCATTAATCAAGTTAATTTAGAATATTCTCAGAGCTTAACTAGGGAAGTAAGATAATGTTTTCCCTCTGTGTCTGCTAGCAAATGCCCCTTTAAGAACTATTAAAATTCTTACAGTGATGGGGCAGATAGCCTGATTGTCTATTGCGAGCTTGAAACACTGAACTTTCAAACTTTTATTTCTTTGATAAAACTGCAGATTTCCTTAGCCTAATCTGTTAAAATTCTGATTCATGGGGCTTGAGATGGGCCACAAAATGTGTATGTGTGTGTGTGTGTTAGTGGTGATGGTAGGGGAAATAAGAATATGTCTTTATTAAGCAATACAGAAGGAATAGTATAAAATACTGCCTTTGGTTAAAAAAAAAACCCTCTTTGTATTCCACCAGTACACCTTCTAAACACTCCACGGCCTAAACCCAGCAGTTGTGAAGCAGTGGAAGTGTGTCAGTGGTTTTTTCAGAGAATGCTGTCAGCATGGATGTGTTTGACTGCACTCTGCTGGCTGAGAAGCTGAGAAATGAAGTAACCCCCAAGTCTGAGAAATGAGGCATCACTATGCTTTGGCTCTGGCTCTCCTGCAGGGGAGCATGTGGAGCTTGGACCCTACAGAGAAGACCTTTGGCCAGTTGTTGCCCTCTGGCCCTACAGATTCCACTACTAGCAGTTGTAAGTACTGAGCCAAACACAACATTTTATTGTGACAGAAAATTAATTCATAATAAAGACTTTAGAAACACTACAAGATACTACCCCCAAATAAACCACATTGTCAATTGATTTCCCTTAAGTCTTTAAAATGTAATAATCAATGACATAACAAAAACTCAAAACTATAGGAAACATATGAAACAATTATTCAACAAAAAACACTATCTTGCTTAATATTTTTTGGCAAATTTATGTTTTTCTTAAAACTAGTTAGAAGGTTATTATTCATTAAGTGGGATTGAACGTCTGTTATTTTACCATTAAAAAAAAAAACAGAAAGTAAGTACAACAAGAAAATAGATCATAAACCCTAATCCAGGTTACTCTTCCTATAGATGCCTGGATAGACAATAAAATATGGACTGTCTGTAAAGGACAGTGATGTGGCTGGGTTATTGCAGCAATAGATCATTTCCTGATCTCCAAGAAAAACTGCCTTCTATTATTTTGCCCCTGGCAAAGACATTTAGGTATTTAGGTACAGTCTTTACTGTGTACACACTGTGTTGGGACTACAGGATGAAATTCAGGTTGTATTCCTTAGGGAGTGCTCAGCCATCCTGCGAAGATTTCTATCAATGAACTTGATCTTGACAAGTAAAATCAATAATGTATAAAAAATAGAAGTAAGTAAAAATAGATTAACTTTCAGAATCTGAATATCCTACCGAAGTCATAGGTCATCAAAGGTATACAATCGTGTCCTGATGTCTTTCTTTTTTGCTTAAGGAAAGCAGACCCCAATTTTATAGATCATATGAGCACAAATAAATAAATGGGTAAAATATCCTTTGTTACCAGAGTTCTATCAATTAGAAGCTACTAAGAATATTGTCTTCTTAAAGATGTTTTCAACTTTGTCTTAATTTAGGTTGATAATGTCCAATTTTACTCTTTTGTTGTTGTTAGTCACTTTCTATGTCAGTTTTTCTTAGTATTTTACTTAAATTTCCTTTCTTTGATTGTATGTTCTTCTTGAATCATGTCTGAGGACTTATGGATTTTTATGAGACAATGGAATTTATGAATACATAGTTCTAATGCCATTTGATCAGGAACCAGCTCATACAAGATGCTCATACAAAGAACTTAAGATCTGCTGTGCAAAAAGAACTTCTTTGAATAAGGATAGCTTTGTAACACATACTTATATTTTCCTCCATCTGATGAATCCAGGAGATACTAAGCAAAGAGTGATGAAAAGAAACGAAGCCTGGTTTCAGACAAAACCAAAGTCTATGTACAAGTACAGCATTTTCAAACCTGAGCTCTAGTGCTGACTTGCTATGAAATGCTGGTCACTTACTACACTTAATGGTATATACTTCGTCACCCTAAAGAAAAATTACAAATGTTTGAGAGTCATAACAATTTCGTAATGCTTAACTAGATACCAAAAAATGATAAACTTTCAGGGAATCTCTCAGTACTGTGTGTTATAGTGAATGAGGAAATGCATATAATATTAAGTAAACTATAAAACAAGAATGTCGTCTTTATCAAACTTAACAAAACATTAGATTACTTTAATCTGGGACCATTAAATCAGTTTCCAAAATTTATCTAAATACCACTAAGTTAGAGGCATAAAAGAAACCAAAGTGGCCAAGGTTCAGATAGAGACCTTCAATAAACTGGTGATAAGCAAGTAAATGCAAGAAGAAGTGATTACAAAATGAGATACGTATTAATGTGAGAATTCTATAGGTTGCTGTAATAGAGAATAACATAAGGGAGATGTTAACACTTAAATATGTCTTTGAGGAGGTGATATATAAGCTGAGATGAAGGATAAGATTGACCGAATCATGGCGGAAACATGTGGGCAAACACAGAGCCAGGGAAAAGCCTGGAGTGCTGGAGGACCTGAACAAAGGTTTGAACCAAGGAGCAGTGAACACCTAAAGGATGGATGCTAAAAAAGTGAGAAGCAAGTAAATAAAGCAGAGGATTGAGGTCCATGGTAAAGTGCTTGTGCTCCATACTCCAAACATTTTGATTTCCCAGAAGATGCCATGTTTTCCACTGTCACACTTCTTTACATGTGCTGTTCTTTCTAGCCGCCCGCTACCTGTAATGATATTCTTTCCTCCTCAGAGCATTCCTTTCTCTTTTGAAACTAATTTTATGCTCCTTCTTTGTATTCTAGTGCCTCCCCCTTTTTGCCTCAGTGTGGCATTTATCACACTATATTGTAAATCACGTATTTGTCTGAATCCATAGGCTATGGTTTCTTTGGGCAAGGGAATTTCATATTAACCTTTCTATCTCCAGCCCCGAGCACAATGGGTAGCACGTAGCAGATGCCTGGCAAATATTTGTAGAACGAATGTGTTCATTTCCTAGTGTCAGCTCTGCGTCAATGCATTTCATTCAATGTTAAGCTTGTTCAGTTCTTGAAATGTCAATCATCCCCAAAGCCAGGCAGCAGCGTTAGACATGGTGATTGCTCCCCTAAGTGCCTTCCCTTCCAGCTGGGATCCTGGACCTGGTACTGAAGCCAAGCTGCAAGTGACCTAATTAGTCCTTTGGTTATTTCCAAAAAATTTGAGAATAATCATAAACTGGGATGGCCAAAAACTGGGACATGCAGAGTCTGATGAGAGCTGAAATGTTTTAGGTGCCAGATGCAAGTCTTTTAGACAGCATCAGTAGTTTCCAAAACAAAGCAGTTTGCATTTTAATTGTTTTCTGGAACTTTTATCAACAAAATATGTTCATTGACTAATCAGATCTTTGCACCAGATTAAAAATTAACAGTGTGATGGCCACAGAAATAAGATACAGAACCTCTCTTTCTGGCCCCGCTTTAAAGAATTTCTGTCAGAAATCCAGCCAGATGCTGTGTATCTCCTTCCAGAGTGCAATTCTGGGGCTAACAGTGAGCTGCCCTTAGATCCCATGCTTCTAATCAATGTCAGGGAGAGGATGCTAAGAAGGCAGCCCTCCCAGAGGAATCAGTGCTTAATGGAACTTTGACAGGCTTTTAATGCTCTTTTCTAAAGGCTCATCTCTTGCTTCACTGTCACAGTTTGTTGGTGAGTTTGATGGCTGATGTCACAGATAAGTGTAACTAAAACCTTGTTGGTATCTTATTTACTCAGGGGGAAAAAAACCAGGAACAAGACATTCTTTAAACCAGACAACATTCATGGAGTGGCTGATTAAAGTTTAGCGCCATGTATTTAAGATAATGAGTGACTGTTGCTAAGAAACTATATACTCAGATCTTTTGAACACCCCTACCGGCCGCTGATACACAATGTCATGTGAGAATTTTGGGGGGTGGGGTGGGTTTACATGTCATTTTTAAGCACTGTAGTGGCTACTGACACTCAAAATATTTATGTACTTATATGGAATACAGAAGTCTGTATACAAATAAACAACTGAATAAAATCTACTACATACCTATTTTTATAGGTCCTGTAGCTGTTTGTGACCCTCTGGAGTCTGTCCCCAACGAACGTCCTTCTGTCTGGTGTCGCTTGCGCCGACAGAACAAGAGGAGGTTTTGTTGAGAAGCAAAGGAAAGGAAAGCTTATTCTTTGATAAAAGAATCGGAGAGGTGCGAGCTCTGGGCTCCAGAGCATGGGCCCTCCTGACAGGCTGTGGGTGGGGCTGCTCTGCACGCATCTCGCCTTCTGGCGCGAAGGTGGAGTTCTGGCGCGAAGGTGGAGATCTCGCGAGGCTGGCAAAGCCGGTGCCGCTCAGGCTCCAGATCGCTGGGCTCGCGCGGCTTCTCTCCACGCGGCCCGCCGCCATCTTGAGTTGTGTCCTGGGCGGCACACGCACGCGCCCCTGAGCTGAGGTGTTGGCGCAGCGGTTTTGCGCTAGGAGCTGGGGTCCGAAGGGCCAGGCATGAGGTCTCTGCATGCATCCCCCTAGGAGCAAGTGAAACTAAAGAAAGCACAAAGGAGAAAAAAAAGGTTAGACTTTGTTTTATTACCCGGATTCTCTTTTTATGTCCTGGGAATTGTTCATGGGCTTTGCCGTGAGTAATAAATAATGCCTGGTTTTGAGGACAACAGAACCAAGAAACAGCTTGAGAATCCAAGGGACAAAATGTTACTGAGTAATATTAAAATCAAAAAGGTGAAAGACCCTGTGTGCTGACGTTTAAAAAAATAGCTGACATTTGAAGAAAGCCAGGTCTTCTCGTGATTACTTGTTTAGAAGAGAAAACCTTACAGTGGTGCCCACTAAAGGGAACTTTTAGTTTTTTAAACAATTAGGTGCCTAGACTTTTGCCTTGGGCCTGTAAATTTAGATGCTCACATTGTCATCACAGAATTGCCTAAAACCAGATGAATAGGATGAGAAAGGAGCCTGGAAAATTAAATGCAAATATCTAGGGTAATCCAGCTTTACAGTTGTTCATTTTTAACTTCTGCGTTCCTTAAATTAGTTCTTCTCTGTCACAGTTTAAACAGTCCTATAGTCTTAAAGATTCATTCTACTTCAGTGAAAAGGCCAGTCATACTGTAAAATTGCTTATAATTGTAATTAAATAGGCAAGGAAGTTTTTCTTGTACATGCACATTTACTGTGCATATTAACTGATCATTTAGGTAACTTGTATCGATCTTCAAGATTAGGATTTACATATATCCATCTGACGGTCTGGATCCACTTCAGCCAGAAGATACCTGCATATTTTACATGAACACTTCTTTTCTTTACCTGGGCTCATGCCTACCCTATAAAACCTTTTTCCTTTCACTTTCTTTTATTTCTTTTCTCTAAGATTAAAACCTTGTGAGGCTTGAAGCACATACACAGGTGCCATAGAAGAAAAAGAATACAGTATTACGGAACAAAAAGCATGGCCAAGTGTTTATCTAGAAATAAAAAGAAATGACAAACTACAAATTCTAAAATGTTGAAAAATATCAGGATCATGTAATCTAGAAAACTCCGGTGTTATTTAACTTCCATGTAACAATCTGTTACTGTTAGCGATTGTGTTCCTTTGGTTGCCTTTAATTTGGAACCGTTCCTCAGTCTATCCTTGTCTTTCACGGCCTGAACAATTTTGAGGAGTCCAGCTGTTTTATAAACCCTCAACCGTATTTGTTTGGCAATTTCTTTTAAATGATCAGAACGCTTCTTGATTGTGACACTTCTGGTCTCCTAGTTGAGAAACGTCTTTGTTTTTTTCCCACCCTCTTATTGTTGCTACAATATTTGCCGCCTTGGATGAGAGAACACAAGCAGAGTATCTAGCACAGAATTTGGCATAGAGGTGTTACTCAATGAAGAGTAAGTCTCTCCATTTCTAAATTCCTTCAGTGTGTTGCTAAATTTCTTTCATAGTCATAGATTTGGTTCAGTTTGGCTACTTCTTGCATCACTGCAGAGGAATTATTATTGCTGAAGGAAGTTTCTGATGCCCTCTCAAAGTCTAGATTGGAAAATACTGTTCTCATTCTTGAACTCTTTGTCAGCTGAAAGACTTCACGGTGTTCTCAGGCCTTTGATCCTGTAAGAATATATACAGTCAGTATCCTATAAGATCTTACCTGGTTTTGGTATTTCCCCCTCATGCTCTTTTCTCCATGTGTCCTGTAGGCATCTCTCCTTGACTGTATTTTCTTTCCCCCATTTTCTAACAACATGCTCTGTTATGGACTGAAAGCTTGTGTCCCCTCAAAATCCATATGTTGAATCACCAGCTCCCCATGTAATGGTATTAGGCTGTGGGGCCTTTGAAAAGTAATTAGGTTTAGATGAGATCATGTAGGGAGAACCCCATCATGGAATTAGTGCCATTATAAGGAAAGGAAGAGAGCTTCCTTTCTTCACCATGTGAGAATACAGTGAGAAGGTGGCCTTCTGTAAGCCAGGAGGAGGGCCTTCACCAAGAACTGAACCTCTCAGTGCCTTGATCTTGGACTTCCCAACCTCCAGAACTATGAGAAATAAATATCTGTCATTTAAGTCACCCAGCCTAGAGTATTTTGTCATAGCAGTCTGAGCTAAGACACTTTATAATATTTTCAATTATTATTAATTTGTCTTCTTTTAACCCTGTGTTCTATTTCCCACCATTTAATTCAGTATGTAGAAATAGAGATTTTAGTCTTCTCTTTACTTGGTTTTTCTTTTTCTTTTTTTTTCTCTACTTATTCTAATTCTGTTCATCCATCTGGCCGACAGTTTGGGAATCCCATTTTATATTTTGTATATATTTCCTACATTGATGTCTCTTTTGTTAATTATTGTATGTCAACATTGTCTTCACTTTCTCTATGACCCACACTCCCATCCATACACTTACACTCAGCAGCAATGCTGCCATGTTCCCAGTGTGGAGACATTCCTTCTTAACTCATTTCATGTCTTCCAGCCCACGTGAATTTGTTAACAACTGCTTTGAATGCATACCAAGGGACAATAATTACTTGGGTAAAGTACCAAAGATGTGTCAGATTAGACTTGCTACTGATTTGCTACTTTACTCTTAGCACACACGTGGGTATCTTTAACTTTCTCTGAGCTAACCTATGTATGTATCAAAGGCCTACTTATTTATATACTATCTTGTTCCAAAGATAACATAAAGGGAATTTACAATTTACAGTAATACAGAAGATTTTCAATAGCATAAGTTAAAAATAGATGAGACAGGGAAAAAATACGAAAAAGCAAAGGCAGAAACATAAAATGAAACCTAAAATGAAGCTAATACAAAAAAATCATAAAACACATCACCTCCTAATCTAATTAGGATGTTCTTGGTGATTAAAGTTATTTCTCTTTATGGTAACTTAAATGGTCTTTAGATTTCTCTTTGGAAGTGTATTCTTTTAATATATTCCTTTTATTCATACTATAAGTGTGACACTAGCAGCAAGTGCAGGTTGGCTGCTTTTACTTTCCAAGTGATTCCCCCAACTGTTTCCTTGAGGTTGACCCTGGGAGTGAAAGAGGACAAACTATTTGAGAGGAAATTCCTGAGATGCGTGTCTCAGTCCCCTGGGATAAAGTGGGTGCTGAGTTAATGCAAAGGGAGATGATATACTGTAAATACTTGGGTCTTCACTTTTCTTTCTCTGTGCAATCAGAGATGCAACATCTGCAGGAGAGTAAAATTGTTATGGCAGAAATGCGACAAGAAAGATCCAGTCAATGTTTTGTTTCATAATTCCAAAAAGTCTCTGAAAGTCAGATCAGTACAGTCATCCTGAAAGTCAAAACTTTTTTCCAGCTTTATTGAGATATTATTGACATATGACATGTAAGTTTAAGGTATACAACGATGGTGATTTGATACACGTATATGTTGCAAAATGATTACCACAATAAGGTCAGTTATCACTCCGTCCCCTCGCATAATTACTTTAAAAATTTTTGTGGTGGTAACATTTCAGATCTACCCCCTTAACTTTCAATATATAATACAGTATTGGTAATTATAGTCACCATGTGGTACATTAGATCCCCAGAACTTATGCATCTTATAGCTGTAAGTTTTTACCCTTTGACCAGCATTTCCCCCAGCTCCTGGCAACCATCATTCTAAACTCCATTTCTGTGAGTTTGACTTTGTTTAGATATCATATATAGGTGAGAACATAGAATATTTGTCTTTCTCTCTCTGACTTACTTCGCTTAGCATAAAGCTTTCAAGGTCCATTCATGTTGTTGCAAAAGGCAGAATTTCCATCTTTCTTATGGCTGAATAGTATTCTATTGTATATGTCACCTCACCACATTTTCTTTATCCATTCATCTCTCCGTGGACACTTAAGATTGTTTACGTACCTTGGCTGAAGCTGCATAGTATATGATTTTTTTAATTGAAAAAAGTTGTCTTTTCTTTTTTTTAAAAAAAAATAGTTTCATTTTGTTAATATTGTTGGGATAACTTTCTAGGGCTAAGATAGAGTCTCACCTATCTAGGATGCCATGTCAGCAAACTGAAATTTTGCTGACTTCTGTGTTCCTGTAAATGTTCTTTTTTTTTTAATTGAAGGATAGTCAGTTATAATGTGTCAATTTCTGGTGTACAGCATAATGTTTCAGTCATACATATACATACATATTTGTTTTCATATTCTTTTTCATTATAGGTTATTACAGGATATTGAATATAGTTCCCTGTGATATACAGAAGAAATTGTTTTTTAAATCTATTTTACATATAGTAGTTAGTATTTTCACATCTTGAATTCCCCATTTATCCCTTCCCACCCCCAAAACCATACATTTGAGTACTATATCTATGAGTCTGAGAAAGTCAAAACTTTTGATTAAAGCAAGTATTTGATTAGAGGAAATAATGCCCTGGAAATAAGGAAGTCAGAGTACTGATAGATTGGAAATTAGTATAGAAAAAGACCAGGACCACACTGACCCCAAAGAGAGTAGGGGAGCGCCATCTAGCCTGGGAGGAAGCAAGAAGGATTGCATGGTCAGTAGGACCGGCAATAAGACTACTGAAAGTGAACGACTGTGTAGATAGACAGAGTTAGCACTGAGAGGTTTCTCTGCACACTTTTTCTCAAATCAGAGAATTAAGCAAAGTTAAGATGTCTGTAGACTGTCCAGTGTCATGGAAGCTAGTACTGTATTCTGCCTGTTCTGAGGCACCACGATAGCTGTTCTGGTTGCATCCTGTGGACTGTCATCAAGAGCCACCTGCCTGTTGTTTATGAATTGTTCATTATAGTGTTGCCTACCTAAATTTTAAGAATTGCTGAGCACGATTCAAATCACCCTATGTGGCTATCTCATTTTGAAAGGCTCAGGAAATATATAAATCTACAAAACAGGAAACAAATGTTTTTTTTTTTTTTTCACGGAGAGGAATAAAGGAAATCCACCAGTTTCTATGGGAATGAATTGTGATGAAAACATCACTCTGGTGTAGCCCAGTTTCAAAGAGCAAAAATCTGTTTCATGCCAATACACTATTACAGTTGCT